ACATTAGCTGAGATGATGAAGGTAGGGCCCTCTTGATGCCATTAGTGGCTTATAGGAGGAGGAAGAGAGACGTGAGCCAACACACTTTGCTCTCCACCCTCATACGAACAACAGGAAGAACCTTGTCCGATGCTGAGCAGATGCTAGTGTCATGTACTCTGGACTTCCTGCCTTGAGGACTGAGTCAAAGAAACTTTTACTCTTTATAAATTACTTGGCCCCTCAGGTATTTTGTTATAGCAACAGAAAATAGTTTATCGTTTTTCTCTTTGTATTCTTTCATCTATTTATTCATGCAGCAAAATTTTTTGAGCCCATTACATACACTAAGTTTAGAAATGAAAAATAAGAATTCTTTCCTGTGGAACTTTTGAGGAAGCAGATAAATAAATAGGTAGTCATGTTGTACATAAAGAGGACCATTTCAATCTTATACTCAAAAGTGTCTCAGAGCCCAGCAATTCTGGATTTATATTAATTGATAATCTCAGTAGCTGAATGGGCTGTTAGAAGGTGGGACCTGGCTGGAAGTGGGTTGTGGGAGGAATGACCGGGTAGAGTTTGTTCCAGCTTCTCTGATTAGAAAAATGTGGGCTTAGTTAGAAAATGTGGGCTTAGTTCAGTAGTAGAGTATTCATGTAGCAGCTGTGTGGACTTGGATTCCATCTGTACAGATGGGAGAGAGACAGACAGACAGAGATAGAGACAGAGACAGAGAAAGATACAGAGAGAGAGGCAGAGAGACAGACAGAAAGGCAGAGAGAGAGACAGAGAAGGAGGAGGAGGAGGAGGAGGAGGAGGCATCAATGGGGGAGACAGAAAAGAAGAAAGGAAGTTAGGTAGGTTGGGAAGGTCTTTGTAACCTGTATTAGTCACTTTTCCATCAGTGGAGAAAAAGTACCCAACACTGTAATTTAAAAGAGAAGAAGTTTATTTTGGCTCATGATTTTCAGAGAACTCATTTCATGGTTGGCTGACTCCAAGCCAAGAGGACAATGGTGGGGAATGTGAGAGGGGAGGGGCAGAAGCAGGAGCAGGGACAGGAGCAGAAGAGAGCAGGAGAGGAGGAGAAAGAGGAGAGGAAGAGGAGGGGCGGAGGAAGAGGAGGAGCTGGGACCAGGAAAACTGTGCCCCCTTCCAGGTCACTCCCCCCATGACCCACCTCCTGCTCGGCCCTACCTGCAAACAGCCCATCCAGCTGCTGAGCTCATCAATGGGTGGGTGCATTGACACGTATGGTGCCCCCATGACCCAATCACCTGCCAAATCCTTGAAACTTCTGAGGAACACTTTCAGTCAGATAGTTGTGACTTTAAATCCTGGCTCTGCTGTTGACTGGGGGACCATGGGGAGATTTGTAACCCCTGAAATCATCGACCTCACATGTCAGTCCTCAACTAACACTGCTGGCTCCGGACCCACGCTTCACTGTGCGCCCTGTGGTAACAGAGTTCCGTTATTCTCCTGTAACGTAAGCATAGTTCAGAATGCTGGCAAGATGCTGCAAGGGGAAGAGGTTTCCTGTCACTTTAGCACTGCTGCGATTGGTATGAGGGGTACATGGCCATCCATAGAATCTGCCCCAAATGTGGAACCCCGAATGTGATCTACCTGAGACCTTGCAGCTTCTGTCTAGTGAAAATCTTTCTATAGCCTTCTCTATTTGGAAGGCAATGATCTCTACAGCCTACTTGCACTGGAGGCCTCTCACCTTTACCAACACCCAGGCTCTCACCACAAGCCTCATGTGGTCTACAAATAGCCACTAGAGGCCCGATGTGTATGGAGCGGTTGTTCCCCCTGTGGACCTCCCACCTCCACCCATTCGCTGGATGTGACCACCTGGGACCTGGCTGAACGTGGAAGACTCATCTGTGACTGGCCAGCAATTCCATTCCAGTTATGACTTGGCTCAATGAGCAAACCGCTGGTTGAACCTCTTCCAGGCTCATCATTTCCTATTACTTTCCCTCAACTTGATGTGCCAAAGAGACTCTCCTTGTATATTATGGTGCCCTTCCATCCTGGTTGCCAGGTTATTACGTTTGCTTGCAAGGGGAAGAGGATATATACATATATATTCCCACCATGTGGTTTCTGTCTCTTAATTTGAGCCAGACCATTCACCTCATCAATAAAGAAGAGGTAAGAGCATCTTCGTTTCAGATTTATTTTTCAGACAAATGAGAAAACCTTCATAAAGCATATAGCTCAGAGCTCTGCTCAATTTCCTGTTTGCTTTGAGTCTACTTTCTTTTTACAGAAAAAAAGAGAAACTAATGTTGGTGAGTAACTTCTGGGTACCAGGCACTATGCCAGGCCGTTGGCAGGATGGTGCTGACACATATGTGGTTGCTTTAGAGGAGGTCACAGAGGATCGTAGTATATTATACTACTATAATGTAACAGGGCCATAGTCGTTAAGCTGAGCTACAAAGCCAGGCTGCCAGTCCTTGCAGTCCACACAGCACACAATAGTGGGCTCCCTCCTGGATTCCCAAATGTTCCTTCTTTTCACCCGAGTGAGAACAATTTTCACGCACAGCAAACCCCCTTGTCTTTCCAGTCCTTCCGTGATGAGGGTAGTCCTGTGGGTTGCTCATCTTCCTTCTGTTAGTCCTTGGGTAACAGAGCTACGTTAGCTCATCAGAAAGCCTAGTTTGGGCCGGGGATTTAGCTCAGCAGCATAAGTGCCTGCCTGGCAAGGGCAAGGTTGTGAGTTTGATCCCCAGTACAAAAAAAAAAAAAAAAGAAGAAGAAGCCTAGTTTTCCTCTCTATACAAGCTGGCTGCTAAATGAGGGCCAAGCAACCTACTCTTAGAACTGATGCTATAAGCTTTGACAAGTAGGAACTGGGTTATTAAGGCGGTACTTTGAAAAAAATCCTGTTGCTTAAAATAAAATGTATAGGATTTTATATCAGCCATGGACCACTTATATGGTTTGCTGTTTGACTCTAACTTCCAAGGACCAACAATCTTTGTTATGTTCACTGTGCTTTCTCAGTGCTTGGAATACAGTAGATACTCCCTAGATGTTTGTTAAAGGGGTGAATTTAAGTAGTCAAGGAACTGCCATATGTCTGTGCGTGTGGGACTTCACTAAGGTATTTTAAAGTAGGATGTTATTTTAAAAGAAAGAGGAATATGACAATTTTATAGATCAAGGTATGATATTAGGAAAATACAGTCCAGGGACCAAATTCACTCTAATTAGAACTTATGGGGCTGGGGATTTAGCTCAGCGGCATAAGTGCCTGCCTTGCAAGCAGGCAGTCCTGAGTTAGATCCCTGGTACTGATAAAAACAAAAAAGAACTTATTTGCCTTGTAGTTCATGTTCTCTTTACGTTAGCCTCTTCTAGGTTTCAGCCTAGGTGATGTGGTAGTTCATCAACAATGAGCAATAAAAATAAAGGTACCATCTAGTAGGTACCACAGACGCTTTTCAAACAAAGCCCTTTATAAAATATTACCTGGTTCCTAGCAGAGAATTCTTCACCTGGCAGCTATTCCCTAATGGCACTGATGAGACTGTGATGACAGCAAGATCGTAAAATAAAGGACTGACAAAAATAGTGTGAATTCAGGCAAAATAGAAATGACTGAGAGAGGTGGGTGATTTTTGTCTTTATGGTTCTGGAAATTGAATTTAGGATCTAGGCTAGGTAAGTACTCTACCACTGAGATACATCCCCAGTGCTTTTAAATTTTTATTTTGGAGATAGGGTCTTGCTCAACTGCGTAGGCTGGCCTTGAACTTGTGATCATCTTGCTTTGGTCTCCTGAGTAGCTGGAATGGCAGGAATGTACTCCTGTGCCAGGCTGGTAGTGATATTTTTGACTGGGCAGACTCTACACAGCTCAGTCATGACCAGGAAGTTGCTTATGCTTTTTTGTGCTTAAAAATTAGATGTGTTTGTGCTATAGCTCATAAAAACTCTGAACCAAAATAACCAGTAAAAAGAATACTGTCCTTCTGTGTTTTGGACTTTCAGATACATAGAAGAAACCATTTCGGGGAACAAAGATTTCTGTGTATTTCAATTGCTATTAAACTGACATTTGTACATATGTATCTGGCACTGGGGATTGAACCCAGGGCTTTCACACTCCAGTGCCCTCCTCTTGAGCTATAACTCCAGTCTTTTCTTATATTTTATTTTATTTATTTATTCTTGGTACTAGGGATTGAACTCACGACCTTGTACTTACTAGACAGATAATTGTGCCACTGAGCTATACTCCCAGGTTATCTTTTATTTTTTGTTTTAAAACAGAGTCTTGCTAAATTGCCTAGGCTGAGCTCAAACTTGAGACTTCCTTGCCTCAGCTTCTCAGCATAGTGGAATTACAGGCACGCACCACCATGGGCAGCTTCTTTGACACTCAAAAAAGTCCATTTTCTTATTTCTCTGAAATTATCTTTCTGTGTTCCTTTTTCCATCTTACTATCATCAGGGGAACAAAAGATTCAGAAAGAGAGAAAACCAGGGTTTGAATCATCAATAATTACACTTAGAAATCTCATTTAAATAGGATTAGGCAGAGATGAAAGTTTAATCCCTCTTGAATACAGAATTTTAATGGGTGACCTTGGGTGGAGCTATCACAGTCAGTACCTGATTCATTCATTTATTAATTCTTCTAACGAATACTTGTTAAGCATCTACAATGTGCTAATCACTACACTGAGCCTTGAACACAAAACAGAATGAGAGCACCTTGCCAATGAGGGTTTGCCTGTTTTATATCTCCATTGCCTCGTATATGGGAGGGATCAATAAACATTTGTTAAATAAATGATGCCAGCCTGTGTGGAGTTCATACTAACTTTCTTCTTGTTCGGTTTAGCAGGGGGTTTTTTTAATGGTGAAAAAAATTGTGTATTTAGAAATATCCAGGTGGATTCAGTTTAGATGATCTCAGTTGTGTTTGCAATGTCCAAGGCGTTGTGATCAGGAGCCAGACACACACCCCTTCTTCTCCCCATCAGGCCCAATCAGGGTCTGACCTTGGCCACGTCAGTGTCACCGAGCTTCCTCACAGCTTGTTGGGTCTGGTGATTGTTGGCCTTGATGTCCACAGTGAACACGACCGTGTTGCTGTCCTCTGTCTTCTTCATGCTGACTCCGTCCGTGGTCAGGAGGAATTTGATGATGCCACCGCGGTCAAGCTTGCTTCTCCTGGGGGCGTGCTCCCCAGGGTATTTAGGCTGCCTCTGGAGCGGTGTCCTGGGGTGGCGGAAGATGGGCAATGTGCAGATCTTCTTTCCGTGGGTGTCAATGCCTTCCAGCACCGCTTTTTTATCCTTTAGAGATTTTGCTTTAGCTTTTGCTTTAGGAGAGGGAGGAACTTCCTTCTTGGCCTTCCATGCCATCTTGGTTAAAAAACAAAACAAAACAGTTTATGCCAATAAAGTTGGAGTTAAACGAATCTCAGTGGAGCTTAAAAACAGAAAATACGAGACAAATGATTAGTGGGCCACAGCCTGGGGAAGCGTAGAGAGAGGAGCGAGCCAGTTGTTGTCCTGCTTCCCAATGACAGTTGATACAGACATTGACGGCCATGTAGGAAGACCCATTCTCACAGGTGGTTTATGGAAATAATCTGCAGGGCTTTGGAGCCCTCTGTGTATATGGACATTTCAGCTTTGGCTTGTGTTGGCCTAAAAGTTTTAAGAGACCAGAATTTAGTCAGAGTTGGCTGTTTTTTGAACAATGTCCAATATCGTACATGATGCCCAGATAGTGCCACGATGGATTCTGGCCTTAAGACTGTGAGATTTCTTCTCCATAGACTCTTCTTTCCTCGCTTCTTCTCTTCCTCTTTTTCTCAACAACCTCAACAGTCCCAAATCCCCTATGTCTTATGGAGGTAGCTGCCTGCCTCAGAATCTCTTTTGAAAGCTTTGTGCTATTATCTGTTTGTTTCTTCTTTGTAAAGAAGTCTTTGTCTTATATGCTGAGTAAATGCTTTTAAAATTATCATACACAATGCATTAGCTATTGTTAGTCTCTTACTATTTTGCAATGAAATTTTGTTCTTTGTTCTTATAAGATAAAATTTTAAAAAGTCCAGGAGTATTTCCATATAATGTTTTCTGGAAAAATGATTGGCAGTCGTAATTCCATTCCCCCATTGGAAGTGGGCTCAAAGAACAGGTCTCTTTCTGTTGTTTAGAAACATTATTAATCAGTGAGCTGTCATAGTTTGAGGACAAAGATTGCTTATTTCTACTTTCCAGGTACTATATATTTCATTTATAGCAATTGTGTGAAATGCATCATCCTAGAAAGATGAACACAGCTCTTGTGACATATTAGATCAGATTGACAGTTGATTTATTTTATCTTTTTTCTCCAGAAAGAGTAAAAAAAAATCATTACATAAGTCATAATTGCCAGGAAGCATTTTGGTCATAATGGCAAATTTGTACAGGGACCTCCTGAAACATATAATTGCTGAAATTTGCAGTTTCCAGAGAAGTCCCTAAGAGATAGAGAGAATTTGAGGTTAATGTTTAGATTTCAGTCCTTCCTGCTCCTCTTGTTATCCATTGTTACAGTCATCGAGGATTAACACTCTTGGGACTGCAGTTATGTCCCATTGTGGGATCTCCCAGGAACAATTCTATTAATACCACTTTTCATCTTCCTAGGGAATGGTCAGGGAAAGAATCTCTCCCAGCCAGATGCCAGCTTTCTTGGAGCCTACTGGGGAGGAGACTCCACTCACAGGGACCACAAAGAATTTCCTCGCCAACATGGGAAGAATCCACAAGGAAGATGCATCACTGGCCCAGTACTTGGAGGTAGAAAGCTGTCCCCAAGATCCACAGCAGGGAGAAAAACAAGAAAGAAACAGCACCACAACTGGGGGTTCCTGGGAAGACTTAGAACTTGAGCCAAGTACCCCAAAAACTAATAGTGGAAATATGTCCCTAGCTGTACTCTCAGTGCATCACCCCCAAGATGCTAGCACCGAGCCCAGGGACCCTGAGGCCCTCTCTGTTGCTTTCCCTGAGCCCACAGATACCGCCCTTGCCTTGGAAAATGTGTGCAGTGGGTCAAGAGACAGAGAAGCAGCATGTGTAGTGGAATGTTTTGAAGCCAGTGACCAAGGAACATGTTATGATACCATGGATTCTCCTGCTGGAACGCTAGTTGATAAATATTTGCCTCAAGATATTTGCTCCGTGGACTCAGAGCTGACAGAAGGTCAAAGCAAAGTGTGTGATTTATATTCTCCCGATGACAAGACACTGGCAGTTCTTTTCCAAACACGAGGTTCTGAGTCTCCACAGTCCACAGGCGACAGCAGCAAGGATAGAAACACAGCAGAGTCGCCTCTTTTCGTCAGTACTTTTACCTGGAACATGTCACAGGAGGCCACCAAAAGGGCCAGAAGGGAAAACCTAGCCAAAGTGGAGAATTCCACTGCCATCTTGTCCCCCACAGTGTCGACGGACTGGGAAAGGCTGAGCCCACAGCACTCAGGGTGGGTTGGGGAAGCTCAACCCCTTTCTGTTGAGAAAAACTCTTTTGTACACTTTGGACAAGGTGATGAGAGTCCTAGGATCTGTGCCTCAAACACCACAGACACCCCAGCCAATCATAGTTCAGTTGTGAATTTACCTCAGGAAAAGCCAATGGCCTTAACAGCAGTAACGGTTAATGCTGAGTGTCTACAAGAGGCTGAAAAGGCTAAGGGCATACCAGCTGCCACCAAAAGTCACCCAGCCAGATATGTTGCTTCAGTTTCTGTGAACAACCTTCCAAGTGGTATACTGGAGAATTCACCTGGGGCACCAGATGAAAGTAACCCCAAATTTCCTTCCAGTGGACAGTCAGGTCATGTTTTAAGTGACCTCACAACTGAATCTACTAAGGAATCACTTTGCTTGGCCTCCAGTGTATCTGGAGTCCGTGGCAGCCATGCTCCCCTGCTCCTGGAGGGAGAGGGCTCCTGTAACAATTTTCTTCTTCAGACTGATAACCAGGCTAGAAATAAGAGCCAGACTGTGGTCAGAGCAGACCAAAGCCTTGAAGAGGATTTCCAAGAAAAAGGAAGTGAAACAGAGAAAGGACTCAAACCAGAGAGCCAGTTCCACCAGGGTTCTTTTTTAGCAGATGATTTCCAAGAAAGTTTGCTCCCCACATCTACGATACAAGACAAAGCTAACCCGGTGCCCTTAGAACACTCCCTAATGGACTGCAGAGATGCAAGAGGGCATAGATCAGGCCAGGGGGCCGATGTGTCCATGGCGGCCGAAGCAATGGTAGCAAAAAGCAGCCAGGCACTAAGCAATGTTCCATCACTCTCTGAAATCCTGCAGGAGGAATCTGAAGAGACTGGACAAGGAAATTGGAAATTGGGCAAGAAGCTGAGGATTATAACCCTAGAAGCTTCTGTTTCTGAAATCTGGCCACCAACACAAGTAATGGAGCTGGAGTACAAGGAGGCAGAACCTAGTCCCATACTCCCTGACTGGCCCCGGGCTCTACTTGATGCTCCAGAGGCAGATGCTTCCCTGCCCGAACAGGATCGCTCAGATATGGCAGTCTTGGATGAGACTGGTTCAGCCCTTGCTGACCACAGGCAAACCCATGAAGGCAGTGTGCCTGCCAGCACCACACACCAGGCGAGTCTTTCTTCTCAGGATTTGAACCAACCAGGATTCCTGGACTTGTCCATGGACGCCGTTGATGAAAAGGAATTGTGGGTCACAGATTCATTATCAGAGGTTTCTGGAACTGGGTGGAAGGACAATGCTAACAGCATGAGTCAAGACCAGGTGGGAACCCAGGTCCAGGTGGATCACTTGACCTTCTTTAAACAGTTTCTGGCCTTGCCTGGCATCTTAGAGTCCTCTGTTGATCCCATTGATGACACAGGTGGGATGGAGTGCCCTCAGGCTGAGAAACTTGAGCCCTCTGATGTCACACTGGAGGTCATCAGAGAGAAGGGAAAATTGACTGATGGAAATTTGGATCAGAGAGTAGAGGTCCCACCTGCCATTCTGCAAATTCCATGTCCCCAAAACAGTGAGGAGACCATTCCAAATGAAAACATAATCAACGAAGACCAAGTAGACAGCAAGAGAGTAGAAGCTGAACCAAGTCAACATAGTGAAATAAAAGTGGAAGCCCAGTCTGCCATCTGGCAAGATCTATGTCCTGATGCAGGTGAGCAAAGAATTCCAAGTGCCTGCAGCATTGGCCAAACACAAGCAGGCAGTCACAGAAGCTCAGAGGAGGCTGAACGAAGTACCGAGAACAAAGCTGGATCTATTTCCCCCGCTTCATCTCCTCCCAACAGTCTCACAGTAATGACTCAGGTGTCTGCTGGAGTCGATTCTCACAACTCTGCAAGCCAAAGTCATGATCAATCTGCAAGTGACCTGGCTGAGCCCCATAACCATCAGCATATATTTTCTGACTCAAAGGAAAGGGGAATTATTGAGAATGAGTTTAGGAAACATGCACCTTCTTCTAGAGATCTCACACAACTGCCTCGCATCTCATCTCCTGAAGGGAACCTCACACACGTTCCAATACGCTGTAGAATTGAGGAACTGAAAGGAGAGAAGCCTCAAGTTGGGGAGCCCGAACTCCCAAGTTCATCTGACTCCACGTCAATGACTTTGGCTTTCATTTCAGGAGAATGTGAGTCAGAGAAATCCCCCGGGTCCCTGCAGGAGCAAGAGGGCTCCACCCTGAGCAGTGGGAGAAAGCCAAGGAAGCAGGAGAAAGCCAGCCACATAGCCTCACAGATCGGCAAATTACAGGGGGCTCAACCAGTAGTGCCTGGGTCAGAGGAGGTCAAGAAGAAGCAAGAAACTCCAGGAGGTGGACATTTAGCTGAGGGAGTAAAGAAGAAAATACTGTCCAGGGTGGCAGCCTTGAGACTGAAATTGGAAGAGAAAGAAAATGCCAGAAAAAACTCAGGTCTTCTTAGAAAGATTCCTAAACTTGAAAAATCATTGTCACACACTGATGAGAAAAAAGACCCCAAAAAGGCACCTTGCAAAAGAGAAGGAAAAGGTGAGGCTCTGTTGCTTCTAAACTCTGTTGAAGTTTGGGTGTAAAAAACCAGGTGTAAGGTTCTTACATCGTGTTGAGCCCTCTGCAGTTCAGGCCAGTGTCCATCATGTGGACATTTGATGGTGGTGACCAAGTGGCTTAAGCCCTTAGATCTGTGATCTCACACTTCTGCACACCTCAAAATCACTGGCAGCTTGTTAAAATGCAGACTGCTAGGGCACATTGTTTCTGATTCAAGGGAGAGATGAGTAGAGCTCAAAAATTTGTACTTCTAAACCAAATGTGGTGGCACAAGCCTGTAACACCAGCTCTCTGGGAAGCTGGGGCAGGGTTGAAAATTCAAGCCAAGTCTGCACAAGTTAGTGAATTGGCAAGACACTGTCTGAAAAAGAAACAAAAGGCTAGAGATGTGTGAAGGCCCTGGGTTCAATCCCCATATACATATACATACATAAAATAGTGTACTCCGCTCCTAACTTCCCGGGTGGGAAAATGCACACCTGAGAATTGCTGCTAAAGGCTTCCTGTAAGTGTGTTTGATGGGAGTGTGATTAAGATGCCTTTCTGTTTAATTATCCTTGTTTAAAAAAATCTATTTAAAAGAGAGGAACAGAAGCATTAATCAGTGGAGCTAATTAATATAATTAAACAGACCTCACACTAGACAGGATTTATGAAAAGAAACATTTTGGTACCAATTGGGATGCTCCTCTTTAATCCTTGATTTTCATTGAAAAATGGCTCAGTCATCAGTTGAAACCCTCCAGTTGGTTTCTCTTTCAAATTTAAGTCTAAAATTTCCTTCCAACTCACCTTTCCACTATCTAAATCTTACCTTTGGGGGTCTTTGTTTAGCTTTCAGACCTGGTGAAATGCAAAAGTCCTTTAAATTGCAGTTACTTCTTACTTTGCTTAGGTTGGTGTTTTTTGTTTTTTGTTTTTGTTTTTGTCTTTTCCAGACAGGATCTGGCTATGCGGTTCAAGCTGGCCTTGAGCTCACTTTGTAGCCCAGGCTGGTTTCGAACTTGCAGTGATCCTCTTGCCTTGGCCTCCCGAGTGAGCCACCATGCCCGGCTTTTAGGGGTTTGATTCAGCCCCAAATTCATAATTCAGCCAGAAACGAGCTCTTCCATACCAGCGCTCCCCTTCCCCTCCTGTGCCACCTGGCAGAAATCAGAAGAGAAAATACTGCAGCAGGAACAGCGACTGTGCTTGCTAGTGGGGAAAGCGCTGGCTCTTTGGATCTGAAGGAGGAATTATTTCCTCCCTTAACCCAAATCCTTGAATCTGGAGGCTGATGTTTTTTGTTTCCTGCCCACCTCAAATGGGTCCTCAGCCCCTGTTGCTAAAAGAATTAAAAACAAAACCACGTTGTGAAAGTGGGAGTAATCAAGGACCTCAGTCCACATATTTTGTTGTTTTTGGAGATGGTCTTACTAAATAGTGCAGGCTGGCCTTGCACTTACTACGTAGCTCAGGCTCATATACCTTGAATTTGGGTTGACTTGTCTTGTCTCAGTCTCCCAATGCTGAGGTTACTGGTGTGCTCTAAAATGCTTGGCTAGTCCATGTATTTTTAAACATATCTAAAGAGTATGAAGCAACTAGGTGTGTAACATAGCCTGTAATCCCAGCACTTTGAGAGGCTGAGGCAGGAGGACTGCAAGTTTGAGCCCAGCCTAGGCAATAGAACTTAGCAAGACCTATTTCTAAGTAAAAATAAGAAAACAGTCTGAGAATGTGTAGTTCAGTGCAAAGGACCTGGGTTCAATCTCTTCACTACCACACACACACACACAACACCAATTTTTTTTTGTATCAGGGATCAAACTCATGATTTATTGGTTGCCAGGCAGGTACTTGTGCTGCTGGCTAAATCCCTAGCCAACACCGATATTTAAAAAAAAAAAAAAGAAAAATAAAAAGGTTTCAGCCCAGAGGGGAATAATGTATTTAGAATTCTTATCTATGATTATTCAGCATACTTTTAGGAAAGAGGATGATCCAGGGCCCTGCTGTTGTTGAAGGGTTTGAGTCGAGCCTAATACCACCTCTCCCAGGTACAAGCAACTGCCCAGGCAGGGAATAAGCATTCTGGGAGGGGGCGGGGCAAGCAGGCACCGAGAGTGGTGGCCTTGGGGGGACAGCCCTGCCAGAGGCCTCAGAGTAGTGACGGCTGAAGACTTGTCCAGGCCAGACCAGCTCAACATGGCAGTGAAGGGCTGTTCCCAGTGCTGCCCCGTCAGTGAAGGCCTTTGAGAGCAAAGATTCAGAGCAGAGGTTTTTGCAAGTGTTTTGAGGCCCTTGGAGAAGAAGCTGTAACATGGTGGATTCCAGCATAGATAGGAGTCCAGCTGCTTGAGTCCAAGTCTGGCTTCCTCTAGGCACTGGGCAGCCTTGGGCAAAGGCTTCACCTCTGAGAACCTCTTTTTCCTCACCTGTAAAAACAGATGATAATAAGACTCATCCCAGCATCAAAATGCAAAGAAATAGGAAAGATGCCTGGCTGTTTTAAAAGTAAATTTAAATGAGGCAACTTTCATGCTTAGTATCATGCTCACGAAATAAGAACTTATATCAGACAAAGACCATTGCTAGTGCAGTGCCAGCCTAGCTTGAGAAGAGTGGTTCTCGCACACTCAGCCTGTCCTGACTTGAGGGTAGAAGCTATTTGCTGTGGAGCAGCCAGGTGACCCTCACCTGAGCCCCTCTGAATCAACAGTGAAATGGGAGACTAAGGTGTGGCTTTTTCACACCTGGCTAGGTCCTTCCCCTGCCATCCTTTCCCAGCTGTGGAGGAGTTACCCCTGGGGCTGACCTTTCTGCTGAGGCGTGGGATTTCCTTGCTAGGGAAAGATAGAACAGGTGGCTGGAACACTGGCAGCCACATTTTCAGGCTTCCAGCTTTCTGCTCTAATGACAAAGCAGTGTAGGCTGTTCCACTGAGAGAGCTTCTACCAGACTGGTAAATGCCTGCATGGCCACTAGTTTATTAAGGAAATGCTATTTCATAGGGTAACCCCAATTAGTGATGCTAATGAGCACTGTGAGGATTTATGTAATAATCTGCTGTGTACACTCGTCCATAAGAACCAACACAGATGAGAAGCGACAAGAAAAAAAAAAAAAGATTTCTTTTGGCATTTACTATTTGGGACAGCAGCACTTTAGGGGTCTAACCTTGACCGTGACCTGCTTTTTCTTTTTGACTTATCTTCTAGTTCTCCATTATAGAAGTCTATGACAAATGCTTTAAGAATGTACTTTACTAGCAAGCACTCAGAGGCTTGTCGTTTTTGTGTTTCCAGTGTTAGCCACAGCAATTTCAGTTCTCATTCCTTCTGGAGGTGGTGGCTCTTATGAGACCGAGGTCTCATCACTGCTCCAGGGCCTGGTGGCACCTTGACCGTGTAACCCAGTAGTCTGGTACCCATCCTGTCCTTCCCAGAGTGTCCCAAATGTAATACCTCCTCTACCACATCACTGGTGTAGGTGGGCATGATTTGGGTGATTCCTAAAAAACAATAACCACAGAGTTACCTTTATTTTTGGCATCCAAACTTTATACAATGAAAATTTCATATGCACAAAAAAAATCTCTCACATTGCCTCCACATTTGGCCAGACCTAGCGACACTCCTAAGTCACTTTGCTCTTTTGCATTTTTACTTCTCGTTCTCACAGCAAGATCCTTTCCAAGGTTCCAGGGCCCCTTGCCAGAATCAACTTTCTGTCTCCCAAAGCCTGCCACATCTGCACCATTTTACACCCTTCCCTTCCCCTCCAAATGGTCTTTGTGTTCAACACGTGCAACAGCCTTAGGGACATTTACTTGTCCCCAAATCACTGGGTGGAAGGATCTATGAAGAAACGGCCCAGATGAGGAAGGAGGCTTGGTCAAAATTCCTAGACCAAGCAGTCAAAGATGTGTATCTGATGAATTTCAGCCAGGGTGGGAGCTGCAGGGCCAAATGAACCAAAATGAGGCGTGGCTCCTGTAACATTGTTAGTGGTCTCAGCTGCTCTCTGATTGAGGGGTTTCGTACCCAACCAATCCATTGCCACTTCCCTGGGACAGAGTTAGCTTTTAAACATACAGTCTGCTTTCCAGATCTCCTCTAGGAAACAGGAAGTTCCCTTAACAGATCAACTATTTCAAATCTCTGCTGGGACCCAGGAAGAGTGGGAAGTTGCTTAACAGATCAACTATTTCACAGTTGTGGGTTTTGAGAAAATGGAGTAAAAAAAAATCCTCTATATTGATATTTAACTCTGCATTACATAATGTTCGTATGATACATTCTTTGCTGTGTGGTTATGGAACTTGGGTTGCGATAAACCGGCACCATGTTTCCAATAATTTCACTGTTTACCAAATCATGCTGGTGGTTTGACCAAGTGGACTGTCCTTTTCTTGTTCTAATGTCTGTGCTGCCGCCCTCTGGCTGCTCTGACTAATTACACATTTGATCTGCAAGCCAAACTCTCATCATTGATGAGAATGAGAGGTGACATTCAAGTCTCAGCCCCATCTACGGGCATCATTTTCCTATGTTCCCTATTTCATTCAAGTAGATGCCTCTCTGCAATAAGATTGACATCAGACATTACTTCAGTCCATCTTCAGCAAAGACGCCAGCGACTGGGTGGGTGGGGAGGACAATGGATAGATTAATATTATTCAACAAATAATCTATTTCTGAATAGCCTTTTACATCTGTGGGACTTAACCACAGCTACTTAAATAATCCAGATTTTATCCTACTCTTGAATTTCAAGTTCCTACTTTTGATCTTAATCATGTGATAATTATCTGAAAGCATCCAAGCCAGGGATATAGCCTGCCTGGCAAGTGCAAGATCCTGAGTTCAATTCCCAGTTTTAAAAAAAAAAAAAAAGCATCTTTATTTTCCTTGGGTATTAAAATCTATATATTTGTATTCTACCCTGTACTTAAAAAAATTTTATTCCACTCCTTTAAAAATTTTTCTCAGTTCTATTTCACTTTGAACATTACAGATTTGGCCTTAGAAATTTTAAGTAATGAAAAGGAGTTTTCTGTTAACTTGAGTTGTTAATTTTTCTACTGTTTATGTTTAAGCAAATCATACCTCATCACACACTCACTTTCCTCGTTCATAAATTGGGGTATTGTCTCTGTCCCTGGAACTGTTGTTAAGAATTAAATGAGATGAAATGGGAAAGTCTTTTGCCTACACTGACCCACAAATCTCATTTCTAGCTCCAGTATTGCTGAAAAAGATCCAAGCGGAGATGTTCCCTGACCACTCTGGAAATGTAAAATTGAGTTGCCAGTTTGCAGAAATTCATGAAGATTCTACTATCCGGTGGACAAAAGATTCCACGTTAATAGCCCAACTGCAAAGAAGGTGGGATACTCGCTCCTGGTTGCTTTTTGCAATTGTTCACTGTTTACAATTAGTGTAGTTGTAAAATAAAAGAATAAATTACAGAGAGTAAAAAGGCAAATTGAAGCAGATTCTCCACCCACAGTATTTGGGTAATGTAAGAATGGAATGAAGATATCTACACAGGGAATACCATGGAAGGTTCTTTCCTTGGTTCTGCCACCGAGTTCTGTGTTCTTAAGAAGTCACAGAACCATTCATTAGAGTTTTAAAATGAGGAAACACATCATATAATGTTCTAGCCTGAGGGTCTGTGACTCCTAGGTTAAAGAACTATCTTCTGGAAGTCTATGTATTTTCTTAGGTATGTTTACTGTTTGATGAATTCCCATTAATGTGACAAAGGTCAAATAAAGCTAATCAAGGGACCTGAAAGAAAAAACAATCCATGAAGTTACAGAGAAGTAACAGCTGCTGAGGATGACAGCAGCCCTCTTTAAGATGGGAAGACTTGGTATTTCTGGGTCCCAAGAGAGGAGAGAGAAGAGAGGGGTAAGAATGAAAATCACTGCCAAGAAGACCTTGTGTGGGGTGACTCTAGCTTATGGCTCCTTAAAATACCTTCTTGCTTTATCTGATACATTCTGGAAACAAATCAACAGGTTCAGTGGGAACCAGCATAATTCATGCAACCCAGAGAAGCGTAGCTCTGCAAAACAAGGTGTCCCACCCAAGTAGACTGAAAGAGTGAGAAAATCTGAGTTTCCTACTAATTAAATTAAACAATGTCTGCTTGAAATGTAGTTCTGGACATTTTCCTCCAAATACAGCCTTGGAAGACTTGAGCTGTAGTTTCATTTCTATTAACCTCACTCCAGAAAATCCAATTGGATTGCAATTGATATAATTACTGCTTGACTTATAATGTCACCCTTGGGGCTGGGGATTTAGCTCAGCGGCATAAGCACCTGCCTTGCAAGCAGGCGGTCGTGAGTTTGATCCCTGGTACCAATAAAAATGAAAAAAAGACAAAAAAAATGTCACCCTTACTCTGCCTGTCTTATGTATGGTTTATAAAGAATTAAAGTGGAAAAGAAGTAGTTTGGTTTTTAAATCAAGGAGCTTCCCAGAACTTTGTCAAAAAGTACTAATTATTCATTTTAATTATTTTCTGAAGTTGTCAGCCAAGAACAATTAACCAGAGTTTTCAGTGTTTTTCTCTAAGCTTAGAACTGGTATTTAAATTTTCCAGATTTTTTTTCTGTTTGAGGCATAGTTATAAGAACCTAACCTCTTGCTAGGGAGAGCATGTCACTAGTAAGGTTGAAAAGTCTTTAAATTCTCTGTGATGTTCGTTTCATTTCTCATTGACAATAGCTTAGTTGAACCTATTTGCTTTCTCCACACTTACACTCAAAAATATTTTGGAGTCATAAATCTTTTGTGTATTGAAAGATCATTTACATTCTTCCAAATATTGGATAATTTCTCTCAGCTCTACTTCTGGCAGAGTGTTTCTTTTTACATGCTCCTCCATGAAATATTTCACCACTTGTGTTAGTTTTCTACCACTGTAATGAAATACCCGAGACAATTAATGTGTGAACAGGAATGGTTTGTTTGGTTCACAGTTTTGGAGAGCCCAGTCCAAAATCATGTACTTTGGGCCTCTGGTTGGGATGCTGGAAGACAATGATGGAGAGCATGTGGTCAAGCACGCTGCTTACCTCATGGCTCGGAAACAGAAGAAAGGGCTGTAGTCCCTTGATGCCCTTTGGAGAACACCTCCAGTGACCTAAGGACCTCCCTGCATCCCTCTTCTCCTAAGGTCTACAGCACCTTCGAAATGCACCACTCTGGGGACCTTTTGGGGACAGTCAACATCCAAACAATAACCCTCATCAAAGTATAATTTTCAAAGATATGAAATCTTTCAGGTGTAAGATGAGCATGCAGCAAAGTTCTTGCCCTCATCAGATAACGTAAGATGGTGAAGCTGTTCAAATGAGATATTTGAGAAACAGAAATCTATATGGTCAATCAAGCAAAGGAACACAGAAACAAATTTTTAAATAGCTATAAAAACTGGTCAATGTTAGACAGATCATAAATCTTGGTTAAGTTATCTTTTCTATTGCACAGAAACCTACAAGTTAACTCATCACTGAGGATTGGCTGGAGAGGTTCTGTGTAAATGGTGAATAGCAAAGTCAAGCACAAGAGCATTCTCCTATAACTAACCAATGACAAACTGGCTAAATGGTGACCTTCAAGGGACATGCGACCACTCTCATTCTCTTTGTTAAAGTTTTGGATACTTCACAAGCGAGTTTGGAAGTTCATTGTCAGAAAATTTTCCTGTGGCCCAGGGCACTGACGGGACTGAGAAGAAGGCAGAGGCTTGTTCTTCCTGCCTGGGTCGCAGTTACTTGTCCTGGCTCCATGGAAATCTCTGTCTGGTCCCATCCAGTGCTTCTGGTTGCCTCTCTTCACTCAGGAGAGAGTGGCACTTCTAAGTGTCCTGGGCTTCAAAAAGAGTCCACATGGAGTGAGCTGGCTGGCCACTGAACAAGGTCTTGGAGCACAGGTCACATCATTTTTGCTGGACACTGAGCAAATGATAGGCTGGCTGTCGATGAAGGCAGGATCTCACTGGGTAGTCTAAGGAGGACTTCTCAGCCCAGGCTGGATGGTATGTGGTGGGTGCTAGCAAGCACCCCTGGCTCCTTGGGACTGGTGATGGGTGCTGGGCTTTCTCAGAGCAGTCTCCATTCAGGTTGCAGCCCTCTTCCTCTAGCAGAGCTCAGACTTTTGATTGCATTCTAGGCACCGGCTTCTTTTGTATTTTTCTCCACAGCTGATTACTACTCCTGCTAAGCCCTGCATTTAGCCATATTTCTCCTTAATAAAAAAGTATACATTCCTTGTGGAGTAACTTGATATGAAACTTAGCTTTCTGGTCTGAAAGGTAAAAGTTACTTTTCACTTCCATTGTCATTTTCTGTTTATCTGTGGCCTCCCAGACTAGATGCCCCTTAATGGCAAGGACTGTTGTCACTCTGCCACCCATCATTAAATCCTCCAGTACTGAACACAGAGAAGTCCTCTTTGGGACATAGAGAGGTGATTTTCTTTCATGGTGAAAGCCCAGCAATGTTTTTGCTCCCATACTAATGATTCACGATCAATCACAAGATGAAGTCTTTTTCTAAATCGTCACCTATCTGATGTCCATTACTCCTCAAGACACACCTAACAGGTGAACCTGCTCTTCCCAGTGCCACTCAGCCAAGAGCAGCCTTGCGAATGGAATCCAGGGCCTTTCACTCTTCAGGCATAGCTCCCAGAAGAAAACCTTGGGTGGAAGACAGGGTACTATGGTTTAGACATCAAAAGCCCCACAAAATTCTCATATAACTGTAAGGTGATCATGAGGGTGCCATTAATCATTAGTGGATTTGTCTGTTGAGTTTGAAGCTTACTCTGTTGTTTTAAGGCGGGACTCCGCCAAAGAGGTAAGTTGACAAGGGGTAACCCAGAAGGATGGATCTTGTTCCTCCTCCTCCTCTGTCTTTCTTTGGTTGCTGGCTGCTGTGGGAAGAGCAGTTATCCTCTCCCAGGCTCTTCTGTCATGCTGTTTCTGCCCTGAGGCCAGCTAATTTTGAACTGAAGCCACAAAAACTGTGAGCCAAATAAACTCCTCCTTTAAGAAGTGAGTGTTGGTTATTTTTCCAAGTATGGGAAAGCAACTAACAAGACAGGGAAAGGAAATGGTTTTCATGGTTCTACAGCAAGTATCAGAGAATTACCAGGCAGCAAGGAAGATGCTCTGGGGACCATCCTTTCAGTTCACCTCCAGCTTTCTATGGGCATTTTGAGCATCCATTTGAATGCCAAGAAAGATTGTACTTGTCTGTGGAGCCCTGGACGACATCCCACAATCCTCTCTTACCAATTCAGAGTTTTACTGCCCTACCAGCCAGTCTTCCACTTGAACAGGACTCTTTTACATACAGTCATAACCATATATTCTGGATATGTTTAGGGGCCTCATCAGTAGAGGGACTATTAGTGGACCTTGTTCAAAGCCATAGTTATATTCCAGAAGACACATGGATAAATCAGAGACTTGAGATCTATTGAAAACCCAATCAATAATGGACACTTTTGTTAAACTTACAACTGAGACAAATTGAAGATACTCTAATTGGATTTTTGTTACTCAACTACGAAACAAATCCAGATTAAAATGTACACTGAACACATACACACACACACACACACACACACACACACACACACACACACACGCAAACAGAGAAAGAGACAGAGAATCTTAGTGAGTGTTTAACAAAATTCATTATATAGAACAAAATTAGAACATGCTTGAATATCATTTTTTTGCAAAAATTTTTGTTTGAAACTTTGGAATAAATATTGTGGCTACAATCACCATTCAAATTATTCCAGATTTTAGGGCAGGAATCATAGATTTCTTAGGGAGGTAGCTTGTGACATCAATATCATTTACTTAAATGTTTCACTTTTCATTTCCTTGTCTCTGAACTGAGGATAGTAATTGTACTTCTCGAATTAGGTTTTCTAAGGATGACACAAATTAGACCCATTAGTGATATAGCAGAATTCCTGGTATACACCAAGTGCTCAGTACACATTAGCTTCATCGCCCCTATTAGCCATCATTACCACCACCACGAGTTCTTATATTTGTAGTACAGTGTCTGAGACCTAGGAATACTCGGTGGGTGGGTGGTGTGCACTAAGGGGGTGTACTATCCAAAAGGGTCCTTAGGAAAGCAAAGCGTGCTTTTGCTGTAAGCATTCTCATTGTGTCTGTGTTTGGATTTGGGTTGGAGTTACCAGATTTCTTTCAAGCATAGGAAGCCTCAATTGGGAACATAACTAAGGTGAATTCTGAGCAGATATGTTGCTCCAACATTTACAATTCCCACCTTTGGCTATACTGATGGCATTTAAACTCTCAAAACTTTCTGTGTATTCATATCAGATGTTGGAATGAGCACATTAAACAAAATTCTAACAATCCTTCCCAACAAATGAACACGCGACTTACTTGAGCAGCATCTTGTTCTCTTGTCTTTATGCAGCCCATTGGCTGAAAACACAAAGGCAAGAAAACAGCTTGTTTTTCCTTCAGGGTATTAGGAAAATGAAACGTTAGAATGACAAAGCATGTGAATATTGATGTCCCCTATTACAGCGCAGGGGACAATTCTGCTGTGTCTTTGGCCATCGTTCAAGCCAGTCAGAAGGACCAGGGTCTCTATAACTGCTGCATCAAGAACAGTTTTGGCAAAGTGACTGCTGAGTTTAACCTGACAGCTGAAGGTAAACCTCAGCTTTTGGGTTTCAGGTGAAAAGCCCTGGCCCTCCCAGGTCAGACGGACAGCTGTACTGATGCCAGTATCTTCTTTGTCTTCTTCTAGTTCTCAAACAGCTCTCCAGCCATCCGGATATTAAAGGTAAGCAGTTGCGAGCTGGCCTGTCAGTGGAGATGGCTTCTCGCAGAGTTGTGCATTGGGTTCTTATTCTGTTCTCTGGACTCTTCTAGCCAACTAGGGAAGGGTTCGGGAGTGACTGGATTTGAGTGACAACTCAGGAGCCACTTCCATGGGGTTGGAGGGCCACCCTCCCTGTTATCATTTCCATAGGCTGCAAATGCCCAGAAGTATTTATGAAAGCGCTTGGATTGCAGTGGTGCAGTTGTTGGGAACATGTGGAGGGGAGTTTGGATTTGACTCTTCCCTTAAATTTCAGACTTTCATTCAACTCAGCTGCTTGAGATTTTTCCAGCTTCTGACACTTAAAAAGCATGTTTTGTTTCTTCAATTCCTTTTCTCACCTGAGCAGAGAGACCCAAGTGTCTTGAGTATATTAACCCCATTTGCTTGCATTTTAATGAAATGAAAGATGGGTCTTTGTGCTTTCTTTTGGCACATCTGGTGTCACAATGGCCTAACAGCTGCTGCTCCTGAACACTGGTCCCACCCCTCGGCCGTCCACTGAGTTTCCCACAGCTTGGAGAATCCATGCTGGCTATATATTTCCTCTTAGGGGAGATTATCACCCATGTGCTCCCTCTCATTCATACTCACCCCTGCTGGATGTGCTCCCTAGGGAGCAGTGAGGCCTGGTTATGTAGAGTTTTCTAGTTCCTATGGAATAACATACTTTGCATGACTAATTTTATTTTATTTTATTTTTTTGTCTTTTTCATTTTTATCGGTACCAGGGATCGAACTCACGACTGCCTGCTTGCAAGGCAGGCACTTATGCCGCTGAGCTAAATCCCCAGCCCCTGCATGACTAATTTTAAACTATCAACCTGATCATAGGTTGTGGAGGTGGGAGAAAAAATGCCTACAATTGGCTCTCAGAGACACAGTAAGCAAGAGTAAGCCAGCTCCAAACATCACTGCTGGCCTGTCTCACACCATGCTACCATGACACTTAGCATAGCCTAGGACCTGTGGTTAGTTTTGGGGACACATGGATGCCATTTTGATGGTTAAATTAGGTTACTGTCTTAACGATGTATTGCATGTTCTGATTTTCAAAGCAAACAAAACTCCTGAAATCCCTGTGTAAACAGGACAATAGAAAGAATCACAATGCACTAATATCTAGTACATGAAAAGGAAGAAACTGGGATTACAACTTGGAAATGGTCTAGCAAGGGTTGGGAGTATAGCTTCATGGTAGAGTACTTGCTTGGTGTGTCCAAGGCCCTGGGTTCCATTCCCACATGAGGGAAGGGAAGAGGAGGGAATGGAAGGGTTAGGGTTCAAGGGAAGGGAAGGGAAGGGAAGGGAAGGGAAGGGAAGGGAAGGGTCGGGTCCAGCAAATATTATGGTATTTATTTCAATAAATTTATAGGCAGGCTAAGGTTTTCACAGATGTGTTCAAGTGCTAAATGCCTGCCTTCAGTATGTACTATACTTGTGGGGGTATAATTTAAACTCTTTACCCCATTTCTGCTCCATATCCTCTAAAGTCAAGTGCAAGAATCCTATTCTGTCTTCAGGAAACAATTTTCAGAACTTTTCTGTTTCATCAGGCTCTTAGCATCAATTGGAAGCCTCATCTCAGATACTTGGTGTGACTTTGTTAGTTTAGGTTCGCCTAAACTCTGTCATCTCTCAAGGTTTACACCAGTCAAGAATGAGATCCCATTGGGCCCCGTGACTTCCACCATAGCATTTGGGTTTGAGCCTGGAGACATTACTTTTATCCAGCTTGCACCCCTGTGACTTCAGATCCCAGTTTCACTGACTTACTAGGCTGAGGAGGCCACACCTGGTCCTTTAGATGAAGAAGCCGAAATTTACTTTTAATCACCCTTTTTATATGAAAGAATCTTTCACTAAACATTCTATTCCTTTAATTCTCTGTAGGAGTAATGAATCACATTTTACAAGCAGTCTCTAATTTAAAAACTAATAAAACCAAGCTGGTGAGAAAGCCTGAAATAAATGATGGGCCAAATAAAACACAAAGTAGCCCAACATAATGATGTTATTAAATGTTATGAGTGTGTTCACAGATTGGGTTTTCCCCATCTCACTGGCAGTGAGGACTGTGGGTGGCCACATGAGTTCTCTTTGTGCTAAAGACTTGGATTCTGCTATATACAGGTGTAGCAAAGAACCTAGATGAATGTTTTGCTCTCCCAATACTCACTGGCATAGGTGTGCTTGGTTGGTTTTGATGAGTCTGTCCTGGTTCTCTCTAGGACCTGCTAGACCTCAGGCAGCCAGGAGACGGGTCCTAGCTGCACTGTACTCTACAAAGCTCCCAAAAAAGTTCCGCCTCCTTCCCCACCCGAGACTTACCCTGCCACTTTCCTGTTTTTCCTGAAACTCCCTCTCATGCTCCATGTTCCTGTTACCTGAATCATTCTTCCCAGAGAAGACACTGATCTAAATACTGAATTCTTATTGTCACTGCTTACTTTCAGTGAGCTCTATGGCTGTAACTAAGATGATTCGCTCATTAATGGTGACATTTCAGGCCTGGCTACCAAAGACATCTGTGGACAGCAGGTTCTCTCAGACATTCTGCAAAGTTGCAAGACTGTACATACCTCCTCTGCACAAGGAGGTGACTTCAAACTAAAAGTCCGGCTCTTTTCTCGCAGAACTTTTCAGAGACAGCGAACAAAACTAGGACTTTTTTTTTCATGGTTTTGTCCTTTGTTAAGTAGACTTTTCTGTTGGTACTTGTACACAGGATTGCTAATTGTATCGCATGTAACACTGTACATGTTTTCCCTGCCTATTTCTAAGCATATGATCTCAAACAACTTTTGCCTTTAATGGACTACACTTGATTGTGTGTACATGGGGTGCTGGGGATCAAACCCAAAGCGTGGCATAGACGAAGCGAGCTCACTGCCTCATCTGCTTCTTCAGTCCTTTCAGTGATGCGTTTGTGGTGGCACATCCGCGTCCCCCAGACTTTTGCTAGCCTCTGTAACAGTGTTTGAAGCATCTTTCTCAGTACCCTCTTCCTTTTGGTAGCTTCTAGTTCTTCACTTAGTTTTTCTGTGTGAAAGTTCTACATCAACTTCTTGTTTCTTTCTGATAATAACCAAGCCTAGGCATCAGCTAATATTCTAAAATTAGGACCAATCTCCTTAGCTAATTACCATAGGCTACTCCTTTTTTTGAATGGGAGTTCAACTCATGGTCTTTATGCTAGGCTACATTTCTAGTCTCTTAAAAAAATTTTTTTTTTAAAAATTTTGTACCAGGACTTTGTTAAATCACTAAGTTGCGCAGGCTCAGCGCAAACTTGCCTTTCTCTTTCTCCTGCCTTGGCCCCCAGAGTGTGGGGTAATATGCATGCTCCAGCATGTCTGGCTACTCTTAAGGCTTATGATTTGAAAATATTTTATATGAAGAGAGAAATGTTTCTCCAAACACTCTATATAAAAACATAAAGTGGGGTTTTCACATGAGCCATGATTTATTTCTTCTTTTAAATATTTGGAAAGATGTCAGATTTCATCGGTGCTGAGTAGTGGAAGATGTTTCTAAAAGTTTATACAATCTTGTTTCATTGAAAGCCATCAATTTCCTTCTCTCAATAAATTAGCAGTCTTTGATTATCTCAAGCTCAAAATGAAGTCTCCTAATTTAATGCATTGTCATCTGAAACCTGCATATAATCAACTCGATAAAATGCAGCTGCTAGGAAACTCAGGCAACAACTGCATTTCTTTTTAGAAAGAAATTCATACACTAGCGCTTTTTTTCACTCTTCAAAAGCATTTCTTTCTACTTTTTGATTCTAGTTTTTGCCTACTAATTTCTGATACACATTATATACTTTTCAATGGAAGTATTATCACCCCCTGACAGCAAAAATTTTACTCTTTTGTGTCTAAGGTACAAGTACTAGTAAAGTACAAACATATGCACACACTTACAATGATATTGTATATATATATATCCTTGAAATATTTAAATATCATGGGAGATCAGACAGAAAAAAAAGGCCCCAAAAGATTCCTGGAGGAATAATACTGAAAAGATTAAGATGATGCTATCGCTCTTTTAAAAATGGTGCTGGAAAAGCTGGCTTTCCACATGTCAAAGACTAAAACTACACCCATGTCTGTCACTATGCACTAAACTAAAATGGAAATGAATCAAAGATCTAAACAGGAAAACTACCACTAAATCTACGGGAAGATAGAATGGGTAGAACTTTTGAAGATATAGATGTAGGCAAAGACTTTATAGACACAACACCAATCCCAAAGGAATTAATCATAAAGAATCAACAACTGGGATCTCATCTGATTAAAAAGCTTTTGCAAAGCAAGAGAAACCACCAAAAAAGTGAAGAGACAACCCACAGAATGGGAAAAAATTTACCAGCAGTTCTTGTTTTAAAATTTTATTTAAAGAAAATAAAAACCAAAATAGAAAAAAGGGTAGAAATAATACAGAATTTCAAAAAAATAAACAGTAACAAATCACTAGTTGATAAGTTACATACTGTCATCTTAGAAATAATTGTTCAAGTTACAAAATTAAAGCATAGAAAGTGGACATTCGAACAGTGAGACTGCAAACAGTTTTGTTCAATGATCCAACAAAAACTTAGTAATATGGTCATCTATTTTACACACTTAAACATACATTCAGTTACATCCTTTAGAGCATTTTCTTTTCCTCTTTTTTTAATAGTAGCTATTACACATTTTGGGTTTTATTACTCCTACATTTATTATTACTTTTTACACTAGAGACACAATGTGATATTTATAAATATAATTCTTATTTATTTCACTTATGAGGGTAGTCTCAAGTTGCCTTCATTTACTTATGAAGGCCTCAATAGCATCTTTTTTTATAGCTGAGTGATACTCCATTGTATAAAAATACCACATCTTTTTCATCCATTCTGCGGTTGATGGGCATTTTGGTTGTTTCCAAGATTTAGCTATTACAAA